CCCCAAAACCCCAAAACCCCAAAACCCCAAAACCCCAAAACCCCATAGCGATAACATAAAGCCAAGTTTTATATTATTTGATTATTAGTTCAATAATGGACTTGAAACTAGGAGGTAAATATAAGCCCGGCAAGAAGCTAGGCTCTGGAGCCTTTGGAGAGGTCTTCGTTGCCAAAGAGACTAATACTGATGAAGAGGTCGCTATTAAGGTTGAGTCTAATAGAACTAAACATCCTCAGCTCTTACATGAAGCTAAACTGTTGAAGTTGCTGAAGGGGAAGGGTATACCTGAACTCAAAGGTGCGATTGTTGAGGGAGACTACAATGTCATGATTATGACCTTGCTAGGCCCGAGTTTGGAGAATCTGTTAAAATACTGAAAAGGAAAATTCTCCCTACATACAACAGTCATGTTTGCCATTCAGGCGTTAGAAAGGATTGAGCATGTCCAATCTTGCAATTTCTTGCATAGAGATATTAAGCCAGATAATTTTGTCATCGGAAGTAAAAAGCCATCTTTAATCTACATGATCGACTTCGGATTGGCTAAAAGGTTTAGAAACCCAAAGACAGGACAGCACATTCCTTGGAAAGAAGGAAAAAATTTGACTGGGACCGCTCGTTATGCTAGTTTATTCACTCATCTAGGATATGAACAGGCTAGAAGAGACGATCTTGAAGGTCTAGGCTATGTTATGCTCTATTTCCTTAAAGGAAAGCTTCCTTGGCAAGGGCTCCCCGCCAAAACTAAGAAAGAGAAGTATGAAAAGATCAAGGAAAAGAAACAGAATACTCCAATAGAAGATCTCTGTGTCAAACTGCCCAAAGAGTTTGCTAAATATTTGAATTACTGCAGAAGTCTTCAATTCGAAGACAAGCCATGCATATCAGATTTGAAGAGACTTTTCAAGAACCTTCTTAAGAAGAAGAACCTCGAGTATGACTTCAAATTTGATTGGATCAAGAAGAAAACAAAGGTTCCAGCAGATATAGGCTATGCTGACTCAGATGGCGAAGAAGAGCCAAATTACAGAGATAGACTTAAGGAGATCCTCAATAAAAAATAAGTTGCTATATTTCTTGCTACAAACCCTCTTTATCCCTTGCTAAAATTTCATTCTGATTTATTTTTCATGAGCTCATACTTTATCGGATCGAATTTTTTACTTACTTTACAGGAGGATGAGAATAAGTTTTGAATGTCGGTCGATTTTTCTTTCAAATAAAATCGACCTCAGTTATTAATTAAAAGGATTTATTATAACTTAATTGTTATTCATCAACATTCCTACCTTCCTACGGGGTTTTGGGGTTTTGGGGTTTTGGGGTTTTGGGG